CCTATATAATTAATTAAGTACTCAGCACTATTGTGTAAGATAACATACCTACATTATCAGTAGATCTGAAAACGGATTAAAGCGAACAATACATGTTAATAGTACTCAGTAATGGCTATTTCTGTTTCTTCAACAATTAGAAATAGTTTGAATATCGGCATCTACTAATGTTGCAATGTTGCAAAATTGCTCAAGATATACGAATGTATTGTTATAACTGAGATGTTTATAAGAATATGATGTTATTAATCAAGGCTGGTTTCTATGCTTACATTGGTCAAAAACTGACGACACTTATAAGTACTGTCGGTAGGTTAATCAAGGAGGTGATACATTCATTATTCCAGATTTTTTTGGATTTTCTCTCCTCGTTTCTATAAAATAAAAATATTCCTATTATTTCAATATATTTGAAGTGGGACAAATCAGATGATTTGCCCCAAAATGTCACTCCGTTTAAAGAATTTTCCTATCAGAGAGCCTAAAAGAAAAATTCACTAGCTTGTCAGTGACAATTTGTATTGAAAAAGGTTTGGAGAAGAGAAATAAAGGTATATAGAAAAAATATCAAATTTTCACTCATCTTTGGATGTTTCGGGAACTAATCTGCTCCCGTTTTCAAATTAAAAAATGGATTTTTTGTATGGCAAATTCGTATTTGACTTGACACTTCCCAGTTCTCAGTGACAATTGGTGACGTTGGTAATCAAATGGTACAGGATGTTTTCATTAATTAATCTCGAATTTACCATTTTCATTTTCATATTTCAGCAGTAAATACCATGTTCTATGGCAGAGTGGAATAATAGTAAAATCATTGGGAAAGAAGATAACAACCAGAAGAGAAAAATCAAGGAATCTGCTTGCATTCTTCTGAACGGAGACAATAGCATTGCTTCCTGTTCAGTTGATATAGATAGTACATCGTATTCACTACTTCTTGTTCTTGTTCATAAAAAATCCGTAAGAGGCGCTGATATCGTAATATTTTTAATGGCCATAGAACCAAAAATAACAACAACCATTTATACCTACGACAAAAAAATACAGAAATGGTATGAGTAGATTCATTTCTGATAGTTTTTAATAAAATTCTGATAATTGAGCTCCTATTCTCATTTTAAAGAGGATTCGTACAGCAACATCTATTAGAATAAGATGTAACAAGAGCCTTATATTGCGATTTCCAACTGTATATTGTCGTCAAGTTTGGGCAAAACAAAAGCGCATCAGTGCAAACACTACATTACTTATGAACATCTCAGTTATAACCTAGCAGCAATCATCGTTAAAGACCTTTTAATGATAGTCCCACAATTCAAGGAATATTATGTGATATTCCTCAAACTGTGATTGTCCAATCCGTAGGAACAATAATTGAGATGACAGTGACTAGACGTAATGAAGATTCTCACAGAAGATCATGATGATAGTCAAAGTCCTTAGCATGAGCCGAAGATATATCAAATTTTTTCCACCACTAGCTTCAGAACACCGAATATGATAGTGCAAATAGTAGTAAAAATAATTAATAAACCACGGTACAGAAGAGGATTCTTGCCGCGCTTGTTTGATATTACCTTCCTCAATGAATATTCAGTATTGAATATTAAAGTTCCGAACTGATTTCTAACTTTACCCCACAAACAGCTAAGATAGCTGCATATATCTACTATTTCTATATATGACGCATCGCCTATACGATATCTCAACAAAAATGGGACCAAAATGAGAGGTACTTTTTGAATCTATAAGGACGGAAAGTGAAGGATGGAAACAGTCATATTGGTTTGACAAGTTTCGTATTATTTTTTCCCTACGTCGGCATCAACGCCTATTGGTCGATTTCGTTACCTAGAGAGACAGAAGTTGGTCCCGCTTCGAGGACAACTATGATTCATACAGGGTGGGCCACCAGTAACGCCTCGGTCTCTAGAAGGCTAACCACTCATCTTCTTGGAATTCTTCCTCTCTAGGAAGTTGCATGTCAACATAGGCTACCATTTGAAATTATTTTGAAACATTCAGGATGTCCCCAAAAATCACAAAACACTGAAGTTGAACATTTTTCAATCGAACACCCTATATATTATTTCATTTTGAGATTCTCCCTGGTGAGCTGATTTCAACAATCCATCATACTTGGGGTCTAGCAGTTATAATTACTGAGATATAGGGTGTGAGAAATCGAGATTTTCCAAGTTCAAGAATTTTTTGTGTCTAAACCATTCATAATTGGTCAAAACGGCTCACATGTCCCTATGTCAACTTTTGATCAACTATCTACTGACATTTAATTGAAACAAATACAGGGTGGTGCAGAATTCAGAATCTTGCTTACCCGGTATATGTCCCAATTAAATATCAGTAGATAGTTAATCAAAAGTTGAGATAGGGACATGTAAGCCGTTTTGACCAATTATGAATAGTTTCGACACAAAAAATTCTTGAACTTGGAAAATCTCGATTTTTCACACCCTATATTTCAGTAATTATAACTGCTAGACCCCAAGTATGATGGGTCGTTGAAATCAGCTCATCAGGGAGAATCTCAGAATGAAATAATATATAGGGTGTTCGATAGAAAAAAGTTTAACTTCAGTGTTTTATGGTTTTTGGGGACACCCTGTATGTTTCGAAATAATTTTAAATGGTAGCCTATGTTGACATGCAACTTCCTAGAGAGGAAGAATTCCAAGAAGATAAGTGGTTAGCCTTCTAGAGACCGAGGCGTTACTGGTGGCCCACCCTGTATATCAGTTGTAGATATATGGATAGCTGAAGCTGGCTGCCAAAGTTCGTCCTGAACAGTTCAAACCATTCCCGAATCCCTTGAAAAAATGAGACTGGTTCTGGATTCGAAAAGAATATACCGAATGCCTATTTAATATGGATGATTGTTGACACACTTTTGAGAAAAATAAGCACTTTTAAAATACTTTCTCCAGTTCTGCAAAACTACACTCACCGGCAAAAAAACGGCCACTAAAAAATATACCCAAATTGATCGCCGTGTAACTTTTTTAATTCTTGTCCAATTTTGATGTAGGTTCCTAAAAAAAGCTGTAGGCTTAATCATTATACAGGGATTAACAAAAGTTACTCTGTGGCAAAAGTGAGAGGTTAAACTCAGCTTCATTCTGTTTTGGATTGGGGCGGAGCCCTTCTTAACATAATGGTTTTTAACTCACGTACACACGTATCCATTAACAACTCAAATAATGTTTCAAAAATTAATATCGCTTATTCAGAGAAAAATTTTAAAATTTACAGGGCGATCAATTTGGCTACATTTTTCCCTCGCTGTTTTTTCCCGGTGAGTGTATAATGGTAGAAAAACGTTGCTTGTAGTGGAAGAAATATAATATACCTACACCTCGGTTGTACAGAATATCATTACCTCAGGATATAATCATATAATAACACCGAAAAAATTCAAGGGGCGATTCCTTGTGATATTTTAGGAAATAAAGTTCATATGAACGTGTGTCCTAACTTGCTTCGTTTTCGAGATACAGGGTATCAATATTTTTGTCACAGTGGGTAAATTTATCGATATTTATGGTGAATATCATTGTAGGCCACGGGTTTTTCTGAGTTTCATATTGTCCTTGGATTGAACTATTGAAATAAAAACTTTTTTATCCTTTGTGTGATTTTAGTATCTAGCTTATTTTTTGGGGAAACAATAAAAATTCGATTTGGTGTTATTCAGATACACCATGTAGATAATAGATAACCTTTTTGCCATACTGGCAGGACACCAGAACAGTGCCATCTATAATTCAAGATAATTGAACTAGGCAGTTTACAATAGACTTGAAAAATAGGCGGTCCTCAATGTGCAAAAAAAAATACCTCATTAGTCAGGTCTTTCATTAGTCCCAAGTGCACTATTGAAAAACATTGAGAATACAGACATGGTACGGAAAATGGACTTTTGTATATTTTAAAGCAGGCTCTTTTACGTGGGATAATCAAATCTTGAATATTCAGTAATACATACACTCATCGGGAAGAAACCGGCCACCAAAAAATTTTGCCAAATTGTTCGCCCTGTAACTATTTCAATCCTTATCCGATTTTTGTAAAATTTCGACCAAATCGTATATTCATACTGTCTGTAGGTTAATCGAGGAGGTGGTACATTCATTTCACTTGATTATTTGGGATTTTCTCCTCGTTTCTATAGAATGAAAATATGAGTATTATTTCAATATATGTGTAGTAGGAATAGCTTGTCAGTGACACTTTGTTTCGAAAATTGTTTGAAGAGAAGGAATAAAACTGGTCAACATACCGTCGTGGTTCAAAATATAGCCTGAATTCAAACTAGAATAACTCACCAATTTCCTTACCAATTTGAAATCGGTTTTTAACGATGATTAGCCTAATCTCTTGACAGTTTGTTGTGGCAATATGCAACTTCTGTAATTTCAGATAAAATTGCTACAGGGTGCGATAATTGAATGAGTGTAAAATTGCATTGTGGTCGTCACCTTACCGTTTGAATAGATGATTTTTTTCTCACCTGTATCCTCTTGATTGATGCTTTCTCTTGAAAAGTGTTCGAGATTTTCAAATTCAGAGCTTTGATAATCGTGTTATGAATATTCATTCAAAATGATCCATTTTTTGACGATTAATTGAATGAAATTCGAACTTTCTTTTTCGAAGAATCAACGTTGTATAGTCGTCGTGTATGTGATTGTGTTCGAACACAGAAAATTATGAAGAAGTCTATACAAAGTGATACAAGAAATACTGAATGATGAAATGGAGAATAACGTAGCCTTCAGAAGATGAAACATTATTTTCTCTGTGTCACTATGTGAAATAATGGACTGTTACTTCACTATGAGGATGTCTTGTGTCTGACCTCGAAATGGTTTTGTAATTTCTCGAATCGAAGGTCATATAGTGAAAATACGCATTTTTAATCAAAATGATGCATTTTCGTTAAGATTAATTGAAGAGTAGAAATTCAAAAGGGTCTGAGTGCCGCTTTCACCAAATTTTAGATTTAACCTATAATGAGGTCTATGTGCCAAGGCCAATACCATACAAAACGGTCAATGTGCCATTTGCCATAGGCAGCAATCATTTTGTGATGTAGAAAGCTGCGCAGGGTCGAAGCGCCTGTACTTGTGTACGTTAAAAGGGTCTAAGTCCCAAATAATTAACATTGTTAGTATACAAAATGGACGCACGTGGTGATGTACAAGCCGGTAATATTGCAGTAAAAAGGCGGCAGAATGGTACTGAGAGTGTTAGAAATGAGAGAAGAAGAAGCAGAGTTAGTGGCTTGCAACATACAAATTATAAAAATGTCCTTATACCGGCTAAAAATCCACCTGAACAGAGGTAAGCAATGTTAACCTCAAAATCAGTAAACTAAGTATACTCACATTATGCTCTTGTTGCAAGTAACTTGTTCTTGTAAATATTCCTGCAAATTTTCATCATTCAATCAGAGAAAATCATCATTCCAACAATTTTATGATGTTGCAAATCACGATAAGCAGAGTACTTTTCTTATGGGGCAGAGCAGAGAAGCTCAAAAATCTAAAAAAACATGATGGACTATATTCCATTGAAATATATTCCGTTTTATGAAGATCTCATAGAAAGAACAGAATCACAGTAGAATACTACTTTGGACTAGAGCCTTTTCACGATTTCTTGTTCTTGGCACTTTGGACCTTCTAGCAGTTGTCATGTTTGAGTTAGTGTTTTTCATACAAGTCTTCGTTTTTTATGTGTAATTTTGTATGTAGTTCATATGATCGTGCATTCTGTACTCAATAAACATATTTCTATGAAGTTTTGTTTTTATTTTAATTTTTTTGGCATGTTTTATGTAATATCTCAGTTTACATTTTTTGGCACTTACATCCTTTTGAATTTCCACTTTTCAATTGTAAAATTCGAAAAATTACGGTTGTAGTTCCAGAAGTATGGAATTCATATTTATTCTTGACGATTTATATACAAGGTGCGATAAAAAATATGTCCAGATTTTCCCAGGACGAAGAAAAATATGTTTAAACGTGATGAAAATCGCTGTTCCAAAAAAGAAATATAGTGTCGGAAATTGTGAAATGTATAATTACAGTAACTTTTCATGAGGTTTATACGAGGAAATATGAAAGAGACTACAGAATTGCCATAGATTCGATAAAATGTTTTTCATTCTAATGAAGATACATACAGTAAGTCCTCATTAGGTTTATACGAGGTTATATGAAAGAGACTTCACATATTGGAATGAAAGTCAATCCAATATGCAATTAAGATTTTTTCGAAAATCTTTTCTTATAGTTTGACACCTCTCAGTTATGATATGATATGAGTGATATGTCAGTATACAAATGAGTTAGAGGATGTTTTTATTAATTGATCTTGAATCTACAATTTTCATGTTCAATTTTCAGTAGTGAATACCATGTTTTATTTTCATCAACTGAACCAAGTTCAACCACTCAATTTCGCCACAGGGCGTTAAATAGTAAGGGGTGAAATAGTAACTTTGGTTTTTCCCTGTATAATTATCAAGTCATCAGCTTTTCACGGAAACTAATATTTGGGCTAACATTCCGGAACATGAATCTCGAAATTTCACAAAAATCGGACGAGGATTAAAAAAGTTACAGGGTGAACAATTTTTGCAAATTTTTTGGTGGCCGTTTTTTGCCGGTGAGTGTATTTTGAAAAACAAGTTTTTTTGTAATTATGATTATTGACCGATTCGACTGCAATACGAGTCAACAGGTTCAACTGTCTTCCTTGAGGTACGTCACAGAGACCACATCGCCACCAACATTGATAAGACATTGGCCCTGAAACAAAAAAAAAGTCGAATAAAAAAGTTGCTGGGAAGGGCCAACCAACATTCGATCCTCAAATATATAGTCGTTGCCAAGATGACAAGGTTGTACTATCGCATCATAAGCAAGTGATAATTTGGCCATCTTCATTTTTGTTTGATTTTCATCTATTAGAGGTAGGACAAAAGTCTGATAGCGATCAAATATTACTGAAACCCTTTTATAAGTTTTTTAAATATAGTGGTAACATAATTATGTTCAATTAAAAAATATATACGTTATTGAGTATAGGTCGTTGTAAGTAACAATTTCAACGAAAATTTCACACCTAACATTTTCGACCAATCAAAATCCTCTATCTTGTATCGTCACCATATCAACTGAATACATTTCTGGAAATCTTTTGACGTTTATAGGTGAAATGACATTAACATTTAACTTCAGAGTACGTCCAATTCATTCTATTCTAAGCTAAATGAATGTGTAAGAGATTGAGCTACTATCGACTTATTTTTTATTATTAAATTTAACTAAAATCTTTTAATCATATTTTATTTAACCTTATATTACGTGAGCAAATTTCATTGATACTAAATAGTACTTCGAGTATCTTGTGAGAAAATATATTTCTATCAACTTTAGCAAAATGAAATTTGTGAAAAACTAAGAAATTTAGTTACTGTCGAGTTATTTTTTATTATTTTGTGTAAGTAACTAGAGTCAATCCTTCACTATATTTTTTCTAATGTAGAAGTTGGTGACATAACCTTTTTCATCCCCATGACAATTATGTAATTTCTGATGTAAGGCTGATGATGGACATATATATGTCCGAAATATGTACCAATTTTTGATGTGTTAATCACATTGGATGTTGTGGAGATGGCTTTGTGTATCATTTAGTATTCAAATTGATTGTGTTTTATTCAACCTAACAATGTTATGGATATGAATGATAATAATACTACATACTGTCGAATTCCTTGTGACAAAATATATTTCCACCAACTTGAGTGGAATAAAGTTAGTCAAGAATGATAGTTTCAATTACCACCAGCTGATGCCTCATTGATATTTTGCATAACTAAAGTCGGTAGTTGGCATGGTATTTTGTATTTTATTTAGCGTAATCTCATCCTAGTATTTTTTAAATTTCGGTGTGTTTTCTTATCAAATACCGCTCTTGTCTGCGACTCGAGAAAATTGTCAAAATATTGGTGTTTTCGAAAAATTTCCGGTAATAATTGGAGCTCTCGTGGAATTATGAGTGAACATTTTTGATTTTTCAATATCGTTGATAGATATAACTCCGAGATTTTTTAGGTACACTAACATTGTGAATTAATAACGTGTCATAACATTCCGATTGCAATACATGTTTTGAGTGCTGTTGACTACAAAACCGATATAATTTTTTTCCAGTAACCCACTGACCAGTTCTACCATTAATTTCCTGAATGTTTGGCCTCATGATTATGTTTGATATTTCGTTTGGTTTGCAATTTAAAACTCATTTGATGCCGTTTAGAATTATTGAATTCTTGCAGGTTTCTATTTCTTTTTCTACTTAGGAAATTGAACATATCAATAATGTTCAGTTTATGGCTATGAAATTCCTTACAGATTTTATGTTTTATAGGGCGGTGCTATTTTTTGTATTGAATGAGTATTCGAAAAATTATTCCGAGCGGAATCACCCTATGCTACTAAATCCGAAATCTCAGAACTATATATCTATCAAGAAAATTGAAATATCAATTTAAATATACAGAGAAGTGGTGACGGTAAAGTGTGCGAGGGGAGGATGTCAGGTTGACGGTTGACTATGGTGTATAATCTGTATCTTCGCTATTCGTGGCACTGTCTATAAAGGGTAGTTATCAGAAGTGCACAAAAAACGGCCAGGACTGTTACTTTTGAATTATTCACAATAGGGTTTTGAAAATTGGTGGGTAGCAAGTATACCAAATTGCTCATTAATTGATGAAACAATTTTTCGTTTATCACTTCCAGTTTCACCGGAAACGACCTCAACTTTTGATTTTCAAATGGGACACTCTGTATTGTATTCCATAATCGGTTAGGGATTATCATGACGAGTTCAACGAAACCGGGTTTGATAGGGTTATTTCAAACGATTACAAAGCTATTTGCGTTCGAAGTTTCCATATGCTCAATGGGTGTGACTTCGCAATATCAAAACTTATTTCTCTGGTAAGCAGTTTCCGAAAAATGTTGTGTCACTTAGAAAACTTCCCACCCGATGATACCTTACTTTCAGTAAATGATATGAAAAATCGAAATTTTTAGCCCTCTTAGTTCACCCTCCTAGGAGGGGTAGATGTTACCCTTAGAACCTAATATCAAAAGGAAAGTCAAGATGCACATCATTTCGAAGGGCGTTCAAGTCTCTTTTCAACTATACCCTAGTTTTTCATTTTTTGAAAAGCAGTTTCCGAAAAATGCCGTTTCAAACTTTGCCTGCACTGATATCTCGACTGATATGCATGGTTTTCAGGTTGGTGTTATTGTATTGACCCTTTCAGTCTAAATATTGGATATAAAATTCCGAGTTATAACTCGGAATTTTAAAATTCCGTGTTTTAACTCAGAATTTTGAAGAGTTTTTATTTTTTTATTTTATGTGTCCCTTCCAGGCCTTCGTAGATATATGTATGAAAGGAGCCAACACCAAAATTCCAATAAAAACATCATCATTCACACATGTACGCAACTTGACCTGAAAAACTGACGAACACAAATCATAAAAAGTTGAACTGCCAGCCGAAGATGGCCCGAAATCGATTTGTTGGTAACCTCTCTCAAGCTTGTTTGTTATCAAATGGTTTCTTCGTTGCCTGTGAATCGAAGAACTACGGGGAATTAAGAATAAACGCTTTTGAATATAATGTGACCATATGGTCACATGGTCCACAAAATAGCCGATGGTTTTACCAGAAGCGGACCGATAAAGGATTATACTGAACTCTTTTCGGTGCTCCGTGTATATGCGGAAATAATTTCTAGTTACGGACCTTGTTGTCTCATTCACATCGGTTTTTCAATCATGTTTCTAGCTATCATAGAACTCGAGCAATCAATCTGCGACCTACTATTGCCCCACCCTGTATCGCAACGTGTCTTACATTCTATTTGTGTGGGATTTTCAATAGGGTTACGACAAGTATAATCAAATCTTTATTTTCAATCAAAATCTGAGGGATAATGCAAATATAATCATACATTCTCATCTCAATTCAATAGATATGATCTTATGTTCAATCTGAATGATTTATTCATGGAAAGGATATAGAAATAAAACAATACACAGAATCATTATCGATCTCCATGGAATTTCATCGATACTTGAAAGATGATTTCCCTCTAAAATCAACGATAAGATTAATTTGAATATAATGACATATAGACAGACCATGTTGATGGCACTTGATACCTAAAGTGTTCCTATAAAAAGCTACTGGTCCTACTGTCTAACTCAAATCGCCATCATGTACTCGTTGAAGTTCTTCGTTTTGTGTTTCGTGCTCGCTACAGTATGTGCTGCCCCCAGGACATCGGTAAGACAAATGGATGAATTAATTAATTAATCGATCAATGCATGGATCAATGAATGAATTAATGTATGGATCATTGAATTAAATAATTAATGAATGAATAAATGAATTGATTAGTTAATGAATGAATGGATTATTGAACTAATTGATGGAAGTGTGGAAGTTTATCAATAAATAAGTCAATGAATGATTTAATGTGTGGATTAACGAATGAGTAAATGAATGCATGAATGAATCAATGGATAAAACAATGAATTTATGAAATGATTCAAAGATTGAATTAATATATATGGGTGAATGAATTAATGGATGGATGGATGGATGCACGGATCGATAGATGAATAAATAGACTAATGAATGAATGAATGAATGAATGGATGAATGAAGGAATAAATGAATGAATGAATAAATGAAAAAACAAATAAATAAACGAATGACTGGATTAATGGATCTTTGATATAATGAAATGTCCAATGAAAGAATTAATTCATGGATCAGTGAACTAATTGATGCAAGTGTGAAAGTATGTATCAATAAATGAGTCGAAGAATGATATGTATGGATTATCGAATGAAAAAATTAATCCTCATGGGTGAATGAATTAATATACTTATGGGTGAATGAATTAATGGATGGATCAATGAATGAATTCGTACTCGATCAATGGATGGATCAATAAATGGATCAATGAATGAATTAATGCAATGAATCAATGAACTAAAATTGATGAAAGTGTGAAAGCATGTATCACGAATAAGTCAATGAATATGAAATTATCGAAGACTGGATCGGTGGATGAAATATTTTATTGATTAATATATTATCTGATTCCAGGAGAACGTCAAAATAACCTTGTATTATGAAGGCCTATGTCCATATTGCCACAATTTTGTCTTAAACCAACTTTACCCTGCCTACAAGAAACTGGGAGATGCAATTGCAGTCGAACTGATCCCCTACGGTAACGCTCGTGTAAGTCGAAAATTATGAATCTTCAAGAAATCAAGAAATCTTCATCTTAGCTAGCACCGAAGTGATATATTTTTTGAATTGCATCTATTCTTCATACCTCCGTTATTAATCATGTAATTCCAAACAAATTTGGACTGGTTTTAGAATTTTTCTTCAGAAATAAACAACACATTAGTCATTGATGGACAGTGCCGTGCACTCTTATTGAATTGAAAAGTGGTCGATTTAATGCAATATCATATTGGGAATTTTTCACTATACAGTAAGTATTGTTTGTCATGCTTTTCACACTTCATATGCAGAACTTCACCTCATTACGAATTACCAGGACTGGCATTATTTTTACATTCACCGTCCTACGAATTTTACCGATTTCGAAAAGATTGTTGAATTTGGAAAGTTTGATAGCTTATAGGTAGACAGAATATCATAATTTGAACGAAAAGTTACATACTTTTTCTTGTTCAACTCACCGTTTCCGAGAAGATAATTATTTATGTTCGCACACTGATTATTCAAGGTGGTTGTGTTTTGAAAACGGAAATTCAAAAGCATGACGAACAATAATGAGATTTTTTTTTGGCACCCAGATGACAGGAGTATGTCAACAAATCATAATTCTCAGACATCAGTTCGTGATAGTTTTAGTTATATTAGAGGGAGATGAAAATTGTGTATATCATGAAGAATGGCTGAAAGAATAACTGGACTTCAGGTTACTGATGAGGATTTGATATCCGAAATGAGTTGATACGAGTGAAGTCATATAACCTGTTTGTGAGAGATATCATTTCCATATCACTGATACAACTGATTTTTTTTTTGAAGTTTCAAGCTCATCAAGATCAGAGTTTATACAAGTTTACTTCTCCTTTGAAGTATCAAGCTCATCAAGATCAGAGTTTATACAAGTTTACTTCTCCTATACATTTCAATTTTCATTTCAATACTGAACATGTAGGTAAGTTATATTTTTCATACCATAATACATCATATTATTTTATCCGATTTGAGAGATATAATTCAATTTCCGACGTGACAAATAGTCAGGAGAGTACATGTTTTCTGTTGAATATTCAGAATAATATAATGTGCATATAGATATCTATATATGAAGGAGAATGCAAATTCTCTAGTTCATTCAAGATTTTATTTTCAAATTCTTATCGTGTGTGTTCAATAGATAATTCAATGTTCGTCGTGGCATATCGCCAGGAAAGCAGTTGTTTTCTGTTGAATAAACCAAGAAACAATTGATATTTTCATCACATAGAGAATGCGAATTCTCAATGTACCTATTTCTTTATATATATCCATTTTTTATGTTCATAATTATATCTGAGAATATTCCTTTTCAATACTGAGATACATTTTCCTGGAAAATAAAAATGCCTAGTGTGATTTTGCGAAGAAATCTTCCCTCTTTTGAGTCAATGAAAATGTACGTCACTGTCCAAAATAATGTCGTTTTTCTTAGTTAACTACCTCAACAATATGTTACTCTTCACGACTTGGAACTCTTTCGATTGTTTTCAAAAAACTGTGTTCCTTTAAGCGCCAACTAGTGGAGGGAAAATGGATTGTCACCTGCCAACATGGAGAAGAAGAATGTTATTCTAACAAGGTACAAGCCTGTGTTCTCGGCCTCGGACACACCACCGAACAAACCTTAGATTTCGTTAATTGCTTGTTCACCGGAGAACCTGATGAAAAAACAGCGAAACAAGTAGGTGAATTCCAACTATAGATAATATATTCAACATTGAAATTCCGAAACTATACCTACATAGGGTGAGTCAGAATAAGTCAGACATACTTCGTATACGCGGATGTTAGTAATCATTTTGGGGTGCACAGTTCATACCAACTCATGTTCTTAAATGCGTCCTCTCTGAGATATAGGGTGTCAGAAGTACGAAACAAATGAAGGTTTATACAGGGTGGTTCATTTAGAATGGAAAATCTCTGAACTACAGATATATTAAACACCTAAATATAAAGATTCAGCCTGTATGTCAGCTGTATGCAAACCCTATTTTCGTGATATAGTCTTGAATTCAGCCTTCCATTGAAATTTCGAGAATTCAATAATATATAGGGTGTTCTATTTGAAAAAATGGTCGCGGACTTCATAACTCAAACGTGGATTGTTGTTGTTGTTCTAAAATTGTACTTTACGGAAGTACTGTATATGCGCTGTTTTTGTTGTATTCGCATTTGTTGATTGTGACCTAGTTGCTGTAATCCAAGTTAAAATTTATCTCTACAGAGGAATTTGTTCGTCAAAATTGTCAGACCTTCGGATTTCACTGATGGTGAACAATCAGCCTCAATTTCATTTGCAATTTTTTTCAATTCATTCATTTTTTAGGATATACTCGTAAGCCTTCTGAAAAACTGAAACGTACATTTCTTCCTTCGTTTTCAATTCGGACCTGTTCGGAGATTTGCACCTAATAGCCAAACTAATTATACCCATGTTCACACTAGATTCAACGTTTCCATCATCGTTTTCCACCAAAATATTTGTTAATTGCTCTAGTTCGAAAATACAATTCAATTGTCATTATAGATCACAGAACCATAATCCTTATCGGTGTAAAACCACTTTGATGAAAATTCATCCGAAGGAAACTTTTCCATAGTGTGGCAAGTGACATATTTTGCGCGAGTAGACGCAACAAGTGCAGAAAATGCATTTTTCATAAATGGCCGTAAGAAAATTCGTTTTGCTATGACCACCTGTAAAATCACCATATAGCACACTGTGTTGTGGCTCAGAAAGAATCTCATATCACCATAGTGATGCGAAAGTGATCTTTGTTTGGTCCATATAAAATGTACTAGCTGCCCGGCTCGGCTTCGCACAGTTGGTGTGCCCATTTTAAAAAAATAAGACATTTCATTTACTTACTTACACCTATTTTCATTCTTTCAGTATCTTCTGTATTTTTTTGTTGTTTTACATATTAAACATTTCAACCCAATCGGTATCAAGCCGTTTAATAGTTTAATACCGACACCTACCGCGTCCAATTGTATTTTTACATCATCCAGGAAACCATCAGAATACCCATATAAAATGTGAACCCAATCGGTTCAGCCGTTCAGAAGTTATGTGAAAAAGATAAGTACGGAAGGATAATTCTCACTACCCGATATCCTATTACCCGTTTTCCCCTAAATGAAGCATTTTCCCGTGATAAAAGTATCCCATGTTCATCAGGGATAATGTCGGCTTACAATGGTAAAAGAATTTTTCAAATCGGTCCAGTAGGTTTGGAGCCTAATCAATACAAACAAACAAATCTTTCCTCTTTATAATATTAGTATAGATGAATGATTATAATAATAAATTATCATATTTTAATACTTACCATCATTGTATATACATTCATTTACGTTAAAGTTTATATTTTGCCCAATGAGAACATATAATTGTTCAAGTTTCCGTCTCTGCCATTTTGTCATAATCTGTGAGACATAACCTCATTGCTGTCTACACCGGTGTAGCTCGGGTCTATACACCGTCGTGACTTGGCATTCTGATGTATTTGGTTGGATGGTTGCGTTGTAGCTCTCGAATGTCTCGACCAAATTCTCGGGACGAGGAAAGACAATAAAAAATATGTTTACCACATCGTATCACTTTAAATTTTATTCTTCGGAAGAAAATAATGATTTATTTACGGAATAATAAGTTAGTTCAATTTCGACATAGATTAAAGACAAATAACAAAAGTTATATTGAAAACATTTGAATGTTAGAAATTTGTATTTGTGTTTCAAATTATATATTTATGGTCGTAGGAAAAATAGTGTACATGACTCGTTGGAAAGTGTATTTCATGCACTCGTTACACTTGCACCGCACTCGCCGCTACGCGGCGTCATGCTTAATATTACTCGTGCGAGATACGTCACTTTCAACTCTAGTTATGTAATATACTATTTTCTACAACCGATTCAGGATAGACGATTGCTATGAAATGAAACGACCAGTATTTTTTCAAATGAAAACTTCTTTGATTTGATGAGAATTCATCCCCATTCTCTCGAAAGTCGAATCGAACTGAAGTCGATTTCTTCTTTATAGTGCAGCGATAAGGGCAAACTCGACTGGACCGCCCTCAGTACCTGCATCTACGGCCCACAGGGCGATGAGTTCGTGCTGGCCCTCGCCGAGAAACAGGAAGCCCTGCCCGAGAAAGTCGTGTACGTGCCTTGGATCTTGATAAACGACGAGCACAACAAAGATTACGAGGACCGCGCTTACGATGATCTGGTCGGCGTAGTTTGCGAGATCCTGAAGGGGGCGCCAAGCGCTTGCAAGGGAGTGTGAAACGGTCCGGAAATGTCGCTGTGTCCACATTCTGAATGATGATTAATAAATGAGGAATTCGAAACAAGCTTGTCTCGTTCTTTCTGTTGTCCATTTCCAGGGGTTGTGAAGATAAACCTTATCCGCCACTAGAGTGAGTAGATTGAATAGAGTGGCGACAATATAATGGCTGCCGTTTCCGGAATGTCATTCGTGGTCAAGTCACTGAATATCTGAAAATCGGAAGGTTATCCAACCAGAATACCTCCTATGGTGAAACACTGAGCTGTAATATGAGTTTTAGGTGAAAATAGTTGTTCGATATATTCCAAGGTGGACGGTGAAAGGGTGTTCTTTTCTGGTTGTTTGATGCAGAATGTTTAGCATTATTAGTCTAGTATAATTGGAGCTTTCCAGATACCTATGATATCATTTTCATTGCTACCTCTGAATATGATGATTTCTAGAAAATTTTCGGACTTTGCATTTTCAGATATCTATTATATCATTTTTTCATGCTGTCTGTCGGTCAGTATAATGATAGTGATTGCGTCACGCTAATTTCCCATTGATTTTGCTGATATATAGAGAATTTTCAAACCTATTATAGGTATAATAAGAATCGTTCTTGTAGAGTAGTTGACAGCAATATGTTTTTTTCTGTCTGAATGCTGCCATGTTGATTTTTCTGTATAATTGCTAATCCCTATGGCCTCCAGCCTCTAGAACCCCATTACATTACGAGTTTTGGTAGTGAAATTTTGACATATTTCGCTGGGTACTTCTTTGGGGGAGCACAGATCTTTTTCACAAGTTTTGGTTAAGACTTGTTCGAAATAATTGTCTAATATCTGTTTGCTTGGCACGCCTACAGTAGACAGTTTTTGCAGCGAGTTCCCCTTCATATTTTTTCATTGCTATTCAACTCAAACGCTCTGTATATTGATCGGAATCATCAGCTTACGCGTGTATTCTGTGACGTTTTCGTGACGTTTTCATGACACTTCCGTGACACTTCCATGACACTTCCGTGACATTTCCGCGACACTTCCGTGTTCCGTGACACTTCCGTGACACTTCTGTGACACTTCCGTGACACTTCTGTGACACTTCCGTGACACTTCCGTTACACTTCCATGACACTTCCATGACACTTCTGTGACATTTCTGTGGCATTTCGGTGGTGTTTCCGTGGTGTTTCCGTGACAATTCCCTCTAAACCGTACATAACGAGTATTGTTTATGATTTGTTTGACGGACTAGCCAGAATACTTTCTTCAGTGTAGCACAGAGCAGTTTCATGAGTTTTGGTTAGGAGCTGCTCTATATATTTGTATAATATATACTAGGCATGTCTGAAGTAGGTAGTCCTCGCAGCGAATTTTTTTTGTATTCTCTCTCATTGTCGCCCTGTATATTGATCTAAATCATCAGTCAGCGCGTCATCTGTCATACCGTGCCTGTTCAATATGTTTGCTGGGTTTACCTGAATTGATCAGTTCTTGCAGCGAGTTTTCCTGTATATATTTTTATTCAAACGCACTGTATATTGAACGTATGCAGCAGCAAGCTGGTAGCTGACGTAGCCTGGTCACGTGTCATCGATCGTTGTTATCTGTCGATGGCCATCTGTCAAATGTCATATGTCGATTATCATACGTCACTCTCATGCAGTAATGAATTTGCCCCTTTGAAGTGCCCACATGATGTAAGGTTCATGTATTTGTTATTTTCATTATCTTATCATTATTATTATCTAAATAATCAGCGACTTGCGAGTCCCAAAAGACGGATTATACAGCTTACCACCTCAGCTATGCCATCTCTTATCGAGTTTTCTTTCAGGCAGATCGCTCCATGTGGTGGTGGACGGTGTATCGTCTGATACCATTGGCATCAATTCCGGCGTTCCACAAGGATCAATTTTGGTACCAACATTATTCTTTCTTCATATCAATGATCTGTTGGGAGTAACAACTTGCCCCATCCACAGCTTTGCAGATGATAGTACCCTCCACACTGCGTTCTCTTCCAGAATTCCCATTTCTTCCCAGGAAACTAAGAACTCACGGCGCAGGCAGGTCAATGCTGTCAATGAAGACCTTGCTGAAATCACAGCCTGGGGAACCAACAACCTAGTTGAATTCAACGCCACCAAGACTCAAGCTTGTATTTTCTCTAGAAAGGCGGAACTCAGTATGCCCGACATTGTAATGTCTGGCACCACCATCTCCACCAAGCCCACCATATCTATGCTCGGTATTTCCATCAGCAACACTCTTTCATGGGATAATCATGTCAGATCCATCGCAAAAGCTGCTTCACAAAAACTCGGATTCTTGTTCCGTGCGAAAAGCTTTTTTAAACCTCAACAGCTTCTCATGATCTACAAAGCGCAGATACGGCCTGTTCTAGAATACTATCCCCATATATGGGGATCAGCACCAAAACATACGCTGATGCTCTTAGATTCCATCCAGAGAAGAGCCATCCGCCTGGTGGGTGACGCCACACTCACTCACTCTTGGACATCATTGGAACACCGTAGAAAGGTCGGCGACCTTTCACTTTTCTATCGATACTTCCACGGGAAATGTGCTTCGGAAATCTCTGCTATCATCCCTTCACTAGCAATGCCAGTCAGACGAACTAGACAAGCCCAGTCAGCACATCCTTTCGTTGTCAACCTTGAAAGATGTCGAACAGCACTTTATCAAGACTCCTTCATCCATAGAACGGCTAGGCTCTGGAATTCATTGCCTGTGGAAGTATTCCCAACAACATATAATCTCCGAAAGTTCAAAAAAAAATCCAATACCTACCTCCTATCCCTATCCTCCCTAGGATCGCACGATGTTCTTCGAACATTATAGGGATTTCCTCTCGTGCGCTCCAAGCGATAAAAAAAAACAACAAGCAAAATGCGTCTGATAGTGCGTTGAAGGAAGGCAATTTCGGGCATTCGACTTTCAACGGCTGGAATATCAATATTGAATGGAAAAAATACTATTGGAGCCATTCTATAGATCGATATGAAATATTTCTGATCCATTATCACGCCTCAGACAGGGTGGTCAACAAATATTCTTCAAATCGAATTGAATTTTCTCGATTTTTTCGAACGACACGTATATGTTGCGGCATAGATCTATCAGCGGTCATTTGATCCCCTAACCATTTTGAAACCATTGAAATTTCTAATTGCTCATTTACTGATACACATTTCATGTCAATTTCCAATCATCAATTGAATTTCAATTTCCTTTATGTACAATTGATTTCAAAAAATTCATGAAAACAAACAAGAATAATAATTAATATGCGAAATTTCTACAAAAACTGCAAAATCGAGAAGCAAAAACATGAAATAACACATGGCGTCCATTGTGATTGACTCACTTCGAAATGAGTTTTCTGTTTCTCTTATACACACAATAATGAAAACATCATGAATTAACGAGAAATAATGACCGGGATTGAATTCAAATAAAAACTCAGGCTATTTTATGGAACATTTCATTATATCAGTTAATTTAATATGAACAACATTCCGTCTAGTCAAGAAGATCGCAGGCCTCAATCAGAATTCAAGAATTATATTTTATCTGATACCCATGCAAAAGTAACCAGTAATTTGACGAAGGTGCCTCTTACTTCAGTTAGACGAATTGTTGAAAATCCCATGGAATCAAGAAACAAGCGTAAAGATTCCGGTGTCACAAAAAGTCTAGACGACTGGGAAAAAGATTTGATAAGGCGAAAAATCTACACTATGTACGATGAGCAGCGTGTCCCTACAATCAAAAGTCTGAAACACCGGCTAATCAATGACGAAACTCAAATCAGCTGTAGCCTCACTACTCTTTGGCGAGTTCTAACTGAAATGGGCTTCAAATATCGCAAAATTGACAAGAGACAAGTAATAATGGAATCCACACGTTTAATAAACTGGCGTTCTGAATATATAACGTCAATAAGAAAATACCGGTCTGAAAATCGGCCAATAATCTACCTCGACGAGACTTGGTTTGACACGCATGACACCCCTTCCAAAGGATGGTCTGATTCCTCTGATGAGTGTAAAACAAAAGCACCATCAAATAAAGGGAAGAGAATCACAATATTACACGCAGGATCAGAAAATGGTTGGATCCCAAACGCTATGTGGCTTTCTGCCAAAAATATTAAGGACTCTTGAGTTGATTATCACGGAGATACGACAGCAGAGCTTTTTGAAGATTGGTTTAAAAATTATCTGTTACCCAACATTCCGCCAAACAGCGTTATAGTAATGGACAACGCAAGCTATCATAGTCGACAACTGCAAATCATTCCTGGCTCAAAGAATACGAAATTGGAGATTCAAGACTTCATGGCTGCAAATGACATATATTTTGAGGAAAATTATACAAAAAAGAACTTTTACAAGTGCTGCAGTCATTTTCTTTGAAGAAAACGTATGTTTGTGATACAATTGCAGAAGAATTGGGACATACAGTGTTACGACTACCTCCCTACTACTGCGTGTTCAATCCCATAGAGCTTATGTGGCACCAACTTAAATCGAGCGTGCGCGGAAAAAATACTTCTCCGACTTAAAGTGGTAGTGTGGTAGTGTGGTAGAATTAATTAGGAACTGTATGAATGACATTCCTACCGAGAGTTGGAAAAGTTCTGTTAGTCATATTATAAATGTTGAAAGCTCGTACCTTTCAGTAAAATCAATTGCGCCAATTATAATTAATTTAGATGAGGATAGCGATAGCGACACTGAACTAAATATAGGATGTAATAGTAACATTTAAATAAATTACTTGTATATCTCCTATATTATGCAAATTCAAATTTCTTAAGTTCGACCCTGTAGCACATTTGCATCTTTCACCTGATGATTTTCTACACAATGGGATTAAATCGGGTAGTTTATTGCAGTTAATAAGCCAATACCATTTACTGTGAAATATACATTACCTGGGGAATTGTGAAGAAATATGTGATCCGCTATTTTGTGAAGGCCGCCATATTGGATTTGGATTAGTGCTTACTTATCATACCTTTCCATTCAATACCATCGAGCCCAATGTGAAC